GGATAGTGGTGTGTATTCTGCGCAGGTCATTGTGTGCAAATATATGGAGAACCGGGCAATTATAAATCAGAATCAGCAATATTTAAACAGCTTTCAGAAGCAGTAATATTTCAACCGAAAGGATCTATCTATACATTCTTTCATGCAAGTTTCAAAGATAAATGCAGCAGAGTCTGAATTAAAAGCCAGCACCAGAAATTTTAAATTAAAAACGTGCAGCAGAAAACAATGGCATTTGATAAAGGACCATTCTGAGCTTCAACACATTCCTTTAATAAATTAAAATTACTATGACATTCAACCATTTTCCTCAGGCCTGAAACTATACACAGTACATTTACAGTATTTATAAATAAATTATCACTATTATAAGCACGTAATTTTACATATAATACTAACTCCCCTTGGAGGGGACAAATATTTTCAATTGTTTCTGGTAACTAATTTCTCAAAGGAAGCTTGGACAACCAGTGAGCTGCAACATGGCCAGCAGTCCATTGTTAAAACAAACTAATTTTGCCCCCTGTAGCAAAGTAGCAGCTACTGTTTGGGCTAAAGTGATCTCTGAAAAAAACGAATTACGGTGGGTCTTGATAGAACTCGCATGGGAGACCACCAGAGGAAAAAAAAATGTAATTCAGCTACTCTTTCCTTAAAGCATGATTGGATCATAATCTTCTCTCCATTCAATCTAAACATAAATAGATATGAATGTCAGATTCTCTGCTATGAGTGCTTTGAGAATGAAAAGCAGATTAAGCCCTAAGGTTCTTTTAAGCTTTCAGGAGGGAAACATAGTTCAAATATCCATGGAAAAATGTAAATATTTAGAGCCAGGATTATTGTAGACATTGTAGGAAAAACAAACATAGTCAATGGACCCCCAACAATATAAAAATTATGAGTCCCTCCATCCAACAGAGCACAATTCATCCCTAAAAAGAAACAATTCCATCCATCTATAAGATCTTTCCAAAAATCCTTTGGCCCAGAACGCTTAACACCTTCGGCATCATGGCCACAATGAAGGTTTTTGAGGTGATTTTGACTGAAGGCTCTCCATACTATCATCACCAGAAAGGCAGTGACAGCTCATAAATTCTGGGTGAATTAAGTCCTGCTTGTCAAAACTAGGCCTGCTGCAAACAACCAGGGTGTGCAAATGAAATTATCATTATTTGCAACCTACTTGCTCTCAAATACTTCTCTTAAAATAAATTGATCAAGGAAGGCATCCCAATTTAGTCATCTCCCATTTCAGCTCATCATAATCTAGAGTTATAGCTCAAATGCTTGTCCCCAAGAAAAGGACATAATCCCATTTTAATCATCAACAGTATATTTGAAAAAAGTTAACAGCCACAATTTTAAAAACATCTAATTCCCTCAGGGACCAAGCACCGTGGATGTTCAAAATGAAGCTGTCTTCTTCAGCAGTGAAGCAACCACTTAAAAAGTAGCTGATCTTCCCCAGCCATCCAATAGGCCATTCGTAGTGCATAATGGCGGCTCCAGCATCCGATCAAGTGGATCCCCCTGAAATGCTGTTCTTACAGATTAAAACACCCCCCTTTTGAGTAAAGGGAAAGATGATTCAAAGAGCAGGCTGTAGCAATCAGGAAGTGGAGGATGTTGTAATAAACGGACATTCAAGAAATTATCCAAGTGAAACAGAAGTCAGTCGAGGATGTGCCATTTTTAAAAAACCTTAGTGTGGGAGAAGTTGCTACTTCAGTTCAGAAATGACATATATGATTGCAGCACCTTAATTTGTAATTCCATTGGGGTTCATGTCTCAATTGCTCTCTTGATAAGGGAAACTTTTCACGCATCAACAGCCTTGGTAGGGAAAAAAAATCTACATCCTTTTGAAGTAAGGAATAGGAGAGAAACGGTCCCCAGTACTAGCATTTTCCCAAAATGTACACGTATTGTCATGGAGAAGGGCTGTGTCACTTAACACTGGATTTTTGGAACTCTTTTTTTAAATGTTTCACATCCCATCGAATGATGTCCCCTTTATGAATGCATAATTTACAGTCCTAAGTTTTGGGGAAGTGCAGAAGGCTCAGTGTTCTTCCATAACTTTTTGTTAAGTCAAATGAAAATAGGATTACTCTGAAAGTTTAAAAACGACGAAGTATGATTAGGCATACTGGGTGTAAGTTCAACACAGGGAGAGCTTGGAGCGTGACACCTGTCCTTCCCTTGCGACCCACCCCTCCCAGTTCAGCTTCCCTTCCTCCCTTCCAGTCCAGGGTTTCAGGGTATGCCATCTTTTCTCTGGCAGCACTGGGAAGGAGGCACATTCCAGTCGTACACGTACGAGAGTCGGAGTTTCACCTCCTCCTTGCAAAGCTTCCCTTCTTTGGCCAGAGTCTGATGCTTCTCCAGCATGTCCTCCAGGCTCTGCTTGTGCGTCACCACGTACTTATTGTTGCAACCGCGCGACTTGTACTCAGTGTCGAAGCGAGGGTCATGAATCCTCTTGACGTCCACGGGGGCCAGCCAGGCCCCCAGGGAGACATCCTCGCTCTGCCAGAGGTTGAGATAGTCCTGGCTCAGGCGCAGGTAGTGCACCAGGTCGGCCGAGATGACGTAGCCACCGCCCAGGGCGTAAGGCAGGTAGTAGTCGCACAGGAGCCAGGCGTTTTCTTTCCATTTGCCGCCCGACTTCACCCGGCCGCGTCCCGAGAAGAAGCCCCAGTAGAGGCGGCGCGGCTCCTTGGACCGCAGTTCTTCCGCCAGGACGTCCAGGCGGACAAAGGTGTCGTCGTCGGCCTTCAGGACGAAGCGGAAGTCCAGGTGCTGGTCCAGCCAGACGTACATGGCTAAGACTTTGGCGGTCAGGTTCTCGTAGGAGTCCCGCAGGTCAGGGAGGAGGAGTAGGTCATGGTGGCGGCTCTGCTCCAGTTCCAGGCTGTGCAGCTCCTCGCTGCTCAGCCCGCCGGTTCCCACCACGAAGCGGCACCACAGGTCGTTGTGGGGCACCCGGCTAGCCGCCGAGAACCAGGTGCTCCGGATGATGCTCCGCCGCTCGGTGTACTTGGGCCCGCTGACCACCAGCACCGCCAGAAAGGTAGCCTCCTCCGGAGGGGGCGGAGGAGCCGCCGCAGGGGGGTGAGGGCCGCCCAGGGCCCCTCCCCGGGCAGGCGGGGGCTGCTGCTGCTGGGGTAGCCCCCACCCCGGGGAAGACTTGAGGCCCTCCGAGGTGCACCTGGCCAAGTAGAGCAGCACCATCCCGAAGAGGGACAGGCCCCCCAGCAGGGTCTTGTGTCGACAGAGCAGGCGCACCAGCTTCATGGCCCCCTCAGCGCCCTCTAGTGGGCGGGAGGAACGGGATGCTCCTTTTGCCCCCCTCCCCTCCTTGGAGAGGTGCTGAAAAGTGGCTCCTCCCCCCAGAAGGCGGCGCCAACGCCTCGGGGTTTGGTCTCAAGGCTCAGCCCCGCCTCTCCGCGGAAGCAATCCAATCCCTCGGCGACCGCTCGCCAAGGCTGGGTGCCGATTGGTTCAGAGCGGGGTTAGTCCCCGCCCACCGTCCCTGCGGGGCGGGCCGCAGGCTTGGCCACTCCCCTCGGCCAGGCCCAACTCTGCCTCGTTCCCCCCTTCTCCCCCTCCTCCGGCACTTCGCCTCAGGTTTTCGGGGGGAAGGTTTTCCCCCTCCCGGCTACGGGCGGCGGGTTGGGACACACCTCCTCAGCCTGCGTTCGAAGATGCCGCCGGGTGCCTGCTGGATCGCCTCCAGCGGAAGGTTCATTGTCTTCTGGCGGCTGCTTCGGGTCGGCCCCGGCGAAAGCGGTGTTCTCGCCCGCGGCGCATGCGCGCTCGGGTCCTGACGCGAGTCTGTCCAGGAAGGCCTCGCTGCCTCTGAGGCGGAGAGAAAATGCGAAAGAGCGGGATCTTGCAGCGGAGGTGGAGGGGGGGGGCCGAGCACGATCGCACCACGTGACTGCTTCTCATTTCCTTCAGTCGTTCCCCTGCGCCCCCCACCCCGTGTTCCTCACGCCGTCCCGTCTCAGGGCAACTGAGGCTGACGTCAAAAGAGGGCAGGCTCCCCGCCATGATGAATTAGGGCAGCGCAGGTCTGGGGGTTTTTGAGACGCGGTTAATGCCAGCCAGTAGGATAGCGGAACGGTGCTGGAGCAAAAAAAAAAGTCCCTTTTTAAAAATGCCCGATTGTGGTTCCAGATTTGGGCGCGGCCGCCTTAAAGATAGGGAAAAAGTAGGGGTTGTGCCCGAAACAAAGATGGCTGCGCCGGGTTCGCTTGCCGCCCAGGACCGCTTCCAACGGCGAAGCTCCCCGTCTCCTTTGCCTCCGTTGAGGGTGTCTAACTGAGCGCCTGCTCGTTCCGTAAATTTTAATTTAAAAGATAAAACGTTTCATATTTTTATTTATTTTATTTTTATTTCGCATTTTATTTAGTGAGTAGAGGAGAGGGAAATAAAACCGACCCGCTGCCTGCTGGGACTCGCTTCCGCGGGACGGGCGATTAACGGCATCCTCCGGGGGCGGAAGAGGCGGGGCTCTGCCGGTCCTCACAGCGCGGAGTGAAGCTTCCGGCTTCCGGTTTGAACCCGAAGAAAAGTCGCCGCTGCCCCGGCGTGGGGTCAGGCATGAGGAGGTTGGGCGGCCGATTGAGAAGGTCAGACCCCTCTTGGACAGGAAGGGGGGGGGGGGGGACGGCCGTCTCTGAGCATGCGCAGAGTACATAGATCCCGAAGAGAGCGCTTCCCTTGGAGTTCGGGCGAAGGTTCCTCTAGGCATGTGCGGAGTGCCGCCCTTTCAATGTCCCTTTTCACCTTGCGGGGAGTCCCCAGAGCTTCTTCGAGGGGTCCCTGGGGGCTTTTCTGCCGGTGGGGAGGGAGGGCGAGGATTCTGGGGAGCCAGGTTGGATCCATTGGGCAGTACAGGTACTCCTCGACTTACGACCGCCACTCAGCCCTTGCAGGGGCTGAGTTTTTCCCCCCGTTTTACGACCTTTCTGGCCACAGTTGCTAAATGGACAACTCTCAGTTCCTTATAGTGAGTAACAATGGCTTTCCCACCATTGACTTTGCTCGTTCAGGTCGCCAAAAGGGACATGACCCCCCCCAGGGAACGGTCATAAATATGAATCACTGTAAGGCAGGGTCTTATTTTGGGTGTCTATTTCTCAAAATGGGACTATAATGCTAATCGTCTGACCCCTTTGCCTCCCCCCCTCCCCCCTTTCCAGGTTATCCAGACACCACACGGGTCCTTCCTCCCGCTGACCACCTTGAAGCCATGGTTTCCAAACGCGTCTTCATCTGCAGCCTGGGCTCCATCTACCTGTCCCTCCTCTTCGTCTTTTTGCTCATGGATGTCTACGCCCGGCCGGCCAACAGCTCCGTCCTCAAAGAGAAGGCGGCCGACAGCAAAGACGAAAACGAGATCCTCCCTCCGGACCACTTGAATGGAGTCAAGATGGAGCTGGACGGGCACCTCAACAAGGAGTTTCACCAGGAGGTCTTCTTGGGGAAAGAGATGGAGGAGTTTGAGGAAGACTCAGAACCGTGGAGGAACCGGAAGAAACTGGTGGTGATTTTCTCAAAGTGAGCCCCCCTGTCTTGCTTTAACTTGAAAAATGGCTGCTGTTCTTCTAAAATAGAGGGAAGGGAGGCCAGCATTAGATAAATCTTGATTATGGCTTCCCTCTGTAAGCTGTGATTGTTCTAAGAATCTTAGAAAGTGCCCCCCACTTTCTAGGAAAATAAGGGGAGGAAATCTGCCTTGGATTCTCGCTGCTTAAGTGAATATGCTCTTTATTTATTCCTTCCACTGCCAGTGGGCTTATTGCAAAGCTTCAGTTAGAATGGAGCTGGAAGGGACCTTGGAGGTCTTCTAGCCCAACCCCCTCCTCAAACAGGAGGCCCACCCTATACTATACCATTTCAGACAGAGGGCTGTCCAGCCTCGTCTTAAAAACCTCCAGTGGTGAAGCACCCACAACTTCTGGTGGCAAGCTGTTCCACTGGTTAATGGTCCTCCCTGTTAGTAAATTTCTCCTTAATTCCAGGTTGCTTCTCTCCTTGGTTAGTTTCCATCCGTTGCTTCTTGTCTGGCCTTCTGGTGCTTTGGAATATAAGTTGACAACCTCTTCTTTGGGGCAGCCCCCTCAAATAGTGGAATGCTGGTATCATGCCTCCCCTAGTCCTTCTGTAGACTAGCCATACTCAAATCCTGCAATTGTTCTTCATATGTTTTTGTCTCCAGACCCCTAATCAACTTCGTTGTTCTTCTCTGCATTCTTTCCAGTCACACACACACAAAAAATTGTAATGTGATATTGTGGGATTGGCAACGGCCGTGCCGATATCTTGCCCGCAAAGAAAAAAGAATTCTTGTTAAGGGCATATCAGGGAAGCAAGTGGCGGTAATAACATGGAAAAGCCATTGGCGGGGTTGATGGCCTTCCTTCATTGCTCTCGATCCTTGATCACCTGAACTTGTAGGCTGGTTGTTTCTTGGCTGAGCAAAGGCAGGATTTCTCCCTTTTTGCCGGACACTGGAGATTGGGAATCCTTTTTTTTTTCTTCTTTTTTCCCCCGCTGAACTTTTGCAGGGTTGACATCAACCGGGATAAGAAAATCAGCGCCAAGGAGATGCAGCGCTGGATCATGGAGAAGACCGAGGAGCACTTCCAGGAGGCCATGAAAGAAAACAAGATGCACTTCCAGGCCGTGGACCCTGATGGCGACGGTAAGAGATGGGGCAGCCATGGGGAAAGAATCTCTCTCTCTATAATAAAAGCGAAAGACCCCTCACGCCTCATCACAAAATCTCCAGAACCGTAAAGCCTACAAACGTGAAATTTGGCACGTATGTTCTTCTTGGCTTCTAGGGGCTCAATAAGAAAGGATTTTCTGAAATGACCATCAGAGCATTTAGAGTATTTCCTATATTATTATTATTATTATTATTAACACGCTATGATGCTAAGGAGCTCTACTCCCCCTCCCCACCTGAAAAGAAATCTCTTCCAAATGCAAAACACAAGCAGAGGAGAGGAGGTTCAGTTTCAGATCACCAAGCAGCTTTAGGACAGAACAGTTGAGCTGAGCCACGTCTAGGCTCCTTGCTGTCTCCTTGCTCACACAGCAAATACTCTTTCGGTTTCCAAACAGCTCTCAACTCTCACACACTGACAGGATGCTAGCCAGATGAATACCGATGGATGCTGGTAGGCAGAGGCAGAATTCTCCCCCCCCCCCCCTTGTTTTCCTCCCAAAAAACAGCCCGACCATGTACTTTTGTAGTGAAGCACGGGTATAGAGCTAGTCTGACTTTACGATTGACTGCATAGAGGTTGTTGAAGCTTCTTTCCTTTCCTTTTAGGCCACGTGTCCTGGGATGAATATAAAATCAAGTTCCTGGCAAGCAAAGGCATGAACGAGAAAGAGGTGGCGGAAAAGATTAAAAACAACGAAGAGCTGAAGATTGACGAAGAGAGTGAGTGTCTTTTTTTCCTGAACAGGATTCAAAGCCCATGGGTTCTGTGAAATTTAAAATATATATGCATATATATATATATATATGGATCTT